TAGTTTTGATGGTAAACCAGAAGGTTACCGAAAATTCATGAAAAAGTTCGAATTGTATGCTATTTCTAAGGTAGAAGATGACGATCGATGACTTCTGTTCTTAATATACTATTATAAATGAAAGGCTCTAGAAGCCAAAAAGCAGTGCAGCATCCTTCCATAGTCATCTAGTTATCGAAGGGCCTGTGTTATTCGGGAGCAGTCGTTTTGAAGGGCACACTTAGTTAGCCGGGCCCCCGTAAAAGCGTCTAGAAGGTTCTAGGGCGGATTATAACAACACAGAAAATTCTTTCATGATGGCACTCAAAATGGAAAATCATTCGATAGCAGTAGAACAAATGGACAATTCAGTGGACCTCAAGTGAACAAACAGTGAAAAGGCTGTGTCTCTTGGTGCAGATGAAATATTTTGAACCAGGCAAGGGAAAAGGAAGTTCACGGGTATGCATTGGTAGATGATGGTTCGGATGCAACCTTAGTCAGATCGGATACTCTATAACTCTTGTGATTACCATTGGAAAATCATCTAATTGCTGTCAAAACAGGAGGTGGAGCCACCCTTAAAACAAGAGTCTATTCGAACGCCACTAGAGATGGATGGATGCTGCAGCAAGCATGATTGTAAGTAGTGAAACAAATAACCCTGTAGAGTAGTCAGAAATATGAATGATTACGAGTTTGCAGTACTCACTGTTTTAGCGTACACGGTACTGGGACCAGGGTTTCCGGTGATATTTTTATGTCTGGTATGGTTTCGGTACGCTGAGCTGTAAGCACTCATTAAGTAATAATAATAATAATAATAATAATAATTTATTCTCAAATAACAAACATGTTACAAGAGACATGCCAATTTACAGGCAAGATCAAAATGTTAAGATCAGCAACATATCTCTTTTAAAACGGTATACATTTACTGAAACATTTCACAAGATTCATTGTGTTCTTAAAGATGGAATGTTCAATGCGAATAATTGGCGCAAGTTACGAAGGTTGCGTTACGACAATCATCTTATGGACTGAGAAACGATTCATGGTAGAGATAGGTTTGCATATAACAAGAATTGATGCGGTAAATGTACAAAGGTATGGTTGATATTCATCAGCTAATGATTTTACATGTTCTTGGGTAGGGTAACCAAGTCTACTGCAAATATCCAGACTAATATATGAGGAGTGGAATAAGGTTCTGAAAAAAGAGGAATAAAGAAGACGGGACGAGGAGCGGAACAGAAAATACGTTTATAGATAAAACAAAGGTATGTTTACTCAGACTTTTTTAATATCATTACTGTACACCTGCACTTACGTAGGTTAATGAAGACAAATTATTGGTGAGATAACTATTGGGAAGTTAGTCGAAAGAACAGAGGAAATTCAGAAGTACCAAGTTGTTAGTAATAATGTTGATTTACAAAATATAATAAAGAGGCTCAGTGATATAATTTTTTGTTTTATATATTCTTTTTATTTTTAACTCTGCAGCTCAAGAAATTATGAATGAGCTCTTTTTTAGTATAGTTATCAAGACCAGCTTGTAATAGGATTTCTCGGTAGGAAGTAAAAACCAGTGCAAGGTTACAGACATGAGTTGTAGACGAGGTTAACAAGGAAAAGTAACATCAATATCACTGATTTGTTACATCCTGCCATATCGTAAGGAGCCGTAAGCAAACAAAATGTTCTGCCACACAGACATGGGTAGATTGAGGTTATCGCCCCACCGTCATGAATGCTGGTCAGAAACTCCACCCTCCCTCCTTTTGTGATGTTAGGCTCTCTTACGTTTAATGGTTGATTGTAAATAATGGTCTCTAGTCTACTCTCAATTTTTTTTTTGTACACCTTATCGGAATTAACATTCTCTACTAGCTCCATATTACAAGCAATCCAGACAACTTTGCCAGATAATATATCCACATAGCATATCACACTGATTTTAAGTAAACGAATGGTATAATTTGTAAGATGAGTCAACTAATAGGTAGTTTGGAAATAGGAAGGACAGGGAGCTGGAACGAGGAGAAGGAGAAAAAAAGAGTTGAAATAATGTTAAAAATTAATGAGTAAAGCGATAAGTTGGTAAGCAGGCAAGGTGTTTGGATGTTAATGAATTGGGGAAATAAAAATTAGTTAAACTGTTAATACGTAAATAAGAAGATACTCACAATTATACATGGTGTTTGAGTTCCTTGTAATTGACAGTAGTTGATCAGCATCTACAGGCTTGTCAATTTGTCTGTCTACTAGAAATAAAAACTAAAACTGCTATGAAGATATGAAAATAATGATTGGAATTTAAAAGCAGAGAAAAGTCACGGTTAACACCTCAAAGGCGTAACCTATTGCTGTTAGTAGGAGCAGGGGGATTTGTCTACCATTTCATGATACATGTATGGGTGGTAATGAGAACACAATATGGTCATAGTCTATAATTAGTTTCTGAGGTTTATCTAAATATTTGGTGGACCATAAAAGAGTGCCTGGGGACTTTGTGTGAGTTCTGGGAATAGTCGATAAATCTCTTTAGAATCTAGCAACAGCATAACTAGTTTCTTGAACTTAGTGATTGTGTCACAGATACGAATAGCGATTGGTAACCTGTTCCACAGTAGACTGTATCGTATTACAAAGAAATTAGAACGCAATGATTTTTTGTGTTTTGCCGTAAATAGTGTATATGCGTTGTTTCTAAGTCTGTAAGCAGTGTCTTGGTTCATATTTGGGCGGTATTTTACGAACGAAAGACCATTTATTAGTTTATAGAGGAGCATTAGGTTGTTTTTGAGACGACGGCGCCATAGAGGTTCTAGGGAAAGATGCTTGCATCTTTCTGTGTAGTCGAGGTTATTGCTCAATCCGAGTAGTCGCCGGGTGAAGCTTCTTTGTACATTTTCTACTCGCATTTTGTCCATGATATTCATGTTTGAAAATATGAGTGAACAATATTCAAGTGTGGGCCTTATACAGATTTTGAAGAGAGTAAGCTTAGCCTCACTTGTGAAGAAGTTCTTGTTTATAAACCCAATGAGTCGTCTAGATTTAGAGATAATATTTGAGGCATGTTCTTCGAATTTTAGGCTTTTAGAGTAACTAATACCAAGGTCACGCGCTGATATGAGTGTCTGAACCCTACATTTTTGTAAGTAGACTGGTGAATCAGGGTGATGCCTGCCAAAATGCATAATGCCACATTTGTTGTGGTTAAACGGCAGTTGCCATGTCTCGCTCCAGGTACTTAAGTTATCAAGATCACTCTGAATCTTAGCTATATTTTCGTCCAGATCTTCAGGCTTATAGCTGTATACTATTTTCAGATCATCAGCATATAAGTATGCTCTTCCAAATTTTATAGTATTACATATGTCATTAATGTACATTAGAAACAAGAGTGGACCTAAGACACACCCCACTGGTTATTGGTCTTGGTGATGAAAGACAGTCATTGTACTTTATCATTTGTTGTCGTCCATTTAGGAATGAAGCTAGCCATGAGTGCAGTGGGTTGATGATTCCGAATGACTTCAGTTTAAGTAGAAGCCTTTTGTGTGGGACTTTATCAAAAGCTTTTTTAAAATCAAAGAAAAGGACTGATACCAGAAGCCCTTTGTCTTGTTCATGTGTGATATTGTTGAAATAATCTAACAGACATGTATCACACGATCTGGACCTCAAGAACCCATGCTGTGAGGTCGATATCAGATTGTTACTAAGTAGATGTTGTAGTAACTCTGCCTTAACTATTTTCTCCATAACCCGAGATACACATAATAATTTTGATACTTTGATTAAAAGTTTAAGAACTTTCAGTCATATTGAAGTCCCCGTAAGTAACATCACCCATGAAGAGTAGTGGTGAAGATAACGTGAACATTTTTGATAATATGCTATATCCCTGATCGATTCATGAAGCCGACGATAAATACATCTGAGCAGTAAGGAAACTGAGGTTAAAAATTTCAGAATATTCTACTCAGAGGTTTTTATTTCGTTTAACTCTAGTTTGTCACATAAGAAGGAGTTTAGAATAGATTGAGCACATATGAGACAGCCTCGGCCTCGCCCTCAGAACCTATCTTTACGAAATGGATGACAATTTCAAAAGCAACGCACGTAACTCAGAAATAATACAAATGATCGATGCTTCATATATCATTATAAGAGATGGTAGAATATGCTTTTCAGTTTAGACAATTCTGCTCAAACTTTTCACAAATTCACTGAACACTTTTTTAGAGGTTTCGAAATTGTGCATGCTGCTGTTGCATCTGAAACTTGTTTTCCAGGGGTTTCGAATTTAAAACTTCACTGACATTACTGAAGTGTCATACTGGAACCGATCCCTCCTACATTCTAGATAATTTAATTCACAATCAAAATACCTGTCTTATATAAAAAATAAAGTGGTGGCCATTATGGATTACTTGGAATCGACAACAGTCAAGCACATGCAGACGTTTAGTGGACTCGTGAGCCAGTATACAGGGAAGTGTGCGTGAGTTATCACTGAAGATCCTGAAACTACGAATCGAACAGATGGGAACAATTATGACGACTTTACTTTGTGGCACACCTACGGGTAGGGCTCGTTCATTCTTGCTGAAACATAACTGAGGCAGTGTCTACAATGTCTACAATAAGTTGTAAAAATTTTCTAATCCAGCTGCTAAAGCAACTACCAAGCTGATCACAACGATTCTGCTGGCCTGGTATCGAAAAAGACATGAATGAGTGGGATTACAATAGCAGCCTTACGACTGATGCGCGCAGAACACCTTCAAAGCACATCACTTCTTGACCCTCTGTGTGTACTGCAAATCTGCATTTTCAGTTTTTGATGTAAGATCACTGTTATCATTACCATGAACAAGACATTGAAACTTAGTATGAAACAGTTTTTTTTATTAGGTGAAGGAAAACTTCTAACTGACGGGGTATTCGGATTTGCTATTGAGTCAAATGACCTTGATAACCTTTGACCTTCACACTTCAATTCTATAGTGACTTGTGTTGACGCGCTGAATAAAAGTTATGCTGGATAGTCAGCCAAACATCATCGACCTTGTGAAAGAGGTTCCTGGATTTCACTTTTATATTTTCAGCTAGTTTTTAGAGTACTACCAACTTAATCAGAGTTGTCGTGCGTTTACGGAAGAAGCTCGTATATTTGAGGGCGTGAACTTGGAGCAATGGAGACCTGCTCCCGATTTTAAAAGAAAGGTAAATTCAGAAAAAAAATAGGCTGACATTTTTAAGCAAGAGCTTATTAACTTTTTAAGAACTAACAAGAAAGAGGAATTTTATAGCACCTTGTTTACTTTGGTGCCTGAAAATGCGAGACAGCAGCAAGAATTTATGCAACTGGAATTCGATATCAACCTTTTTTTCCTGACTGCATTTTGGCAGGAGTATAACAATGTAATTTTGTGTCATATCTAGTAATCCTTCAGGAAGAAAGACATGCCTCAATGCAGGAATTCAAACTGTATTTGGAAACTAAGGGCTCAGTTCACAGCCAGAATACTGAGTTTCTAGCTTATTATGCATTACCGTATGTGACAAAACCCAATGAACACCCGATATACCAGCAACTGTTTGAAGAAACGTGGCGAAACTCTGTCATCTTACGTTTGTCAAAATATATTGATTCGATTATTCAACCGAACGGTGGTAAAATTCCTAGTTTACTTAGTTTGGTGGCAAAACCCAATGTGAAGCAAGATCATCTCATGCGTCAGCTCACAGTATGTTTATATAAATTAATTTTTATGGTGTAGAATGAATTATCAGATGCCGAAAAACGAGCAGCACAGTCTCAGAAACGATTATTTAGGCTTCAGATGGATTATCAAACACTTATGTCTGTAACTGCAGATATACTAGATGCCTTAGAAAATACTGTTAAAGGAAAATCTTTGGATAGCTCAGTAATGCAAAAAATATATTCTCGTCTGGTGCAAAGTCAACATCATTCAAGTTTAAGAGCAAATCAACTAAATGGTCAGTGTAATAAGATATCAAATGGCAACTTTGGATGTGAGACCAAAGACACAAGGTTTGGGGAGGAAAAGTTTGAAGCTTCTGGTCACAAATCCAACACAAACTTTGGCTTTGATTGGTATGTTGATGTGAATTAATGTTTCCTTAAAACCTAAATTTCTGTAATTGCGCAATATGTATTTTATGACCACTATAAATTCAAAAGTCAAGCTTATTTGCATGTAATATGCTATTTAGCTCATAATAGTGATTTAATGTGTCGGAAGTCTGTTTCAGTGTTAAACGCAATAAGTTGTTGTTTAAAAGATATTTGCTGTAGCTGATTTATGTTCAAGTCTATTCTATGAAATTATTACTTCTTGACATGTATTTGAAAATGTGCTTAAGAATAAATTTCTGTAGTAACTTTAGTATATACATTAGTGCTTTATATTTTAATGACAATTATATAACCCGTTTTATTTTATGTCTATTATTTGTGGGCCCTTGACTTCTCCTATGATTTCATGTTTTTATTTGTTCTAAAGCACACAAAATGCCAATAATATTTTCTGTTATACTACTGCTAGAGTTTTATTTTAACTCATATTTGTTAATACTGGTTGATGATGCGTCTGTGAGTGATTTTATCTTGGTTTTCAAGGGAAACTGAACGATAGAGCTTTAAATATGGTCTTGGTAATCATTATCTTAAGATAATTTCTATTCTGCACACAATAAGGTTTACTTTTCAAAGTTAGTAGCAAGTATTTGTAATAGCTGTTCATGGGTTTCTAGTAACTTAAGATAAGAAAGTAAATTAAACATCATCAAATTAGTTTGTCGGTCATGGCTGAAAGCCGTTTGCAATGGCGCAGGTGCATTTATTCTTTCTGTTCTCTCAAATCCTAATCTTCTGGGTTCTTCAACACCTCTAGCTTTTACTTTCTAAACTTATCTCATTGAATCATACTTCTTGAATAATATCTTCTAATCCTAACCTCTCCGATTACTTCTAATTCCCTTACTACCTCTTCTACTATTGGATTTGGATTGACAATTATATCTCTGTGCTGATGTGGTATGGCGACATGAACTGATGTACTTACGTACGAAGTTCTACGTTGCAACTGACTGAATAGTAATGATTTTATGCCTTTAAAAATCAACCCAAAATTTCTCGTTCCTAATTCAAAAAAGTCAGATTTACTAATGCCGAGACTGATTAGCTAACTTTGACACTTTTCTAACTAGAACATTTTATTTTTCTGATATCCACTTATCGAGATTCAGTGTGCTTATCAAATGCTATGATTCTAGTCAGTCAATATCACTTAGAGATTCATATTTATACTAACCTGGTTCTAAAACAGCCTTTCTTATTTTTAAAATGAACTTTTCTTTGTTGAAACGCTTAAATAGGTTCGTGAATTGATCTCATGGTTTGATCATCTTTTGCCCAATTATATAAACGACTGATTACCCCGTATTAGTTGGTTGATAAGTAAAGTCTGACATGACTAATTCCAAGTTTCACGCCTACTCTTTCGGTTGAATCCACTTCTTTAGTGAGAAAGTGGTATGGTTTTTTAAATCTTCCTGTGAATTTGTGAAATAAAATGATCGGAAAGCTTAATCGTAGACTAGATTATTGGCTAGTGGAATTAATTTTCCCTCACTGACAGGGAATAATCTAAATTGAATTAGTTAAACGTAATAATCTTCTCACATTAGATCGTAACCGTTTTTACTTACCCATTTACGCCTGTTACTCATAATGGAGCGTTTGGGAATTGACCATCATTCTCCGACTAACTCTATTATGAGCCTTCCGTTTCATTTCTATCCAACTCCTATTTATTCTTCACATGTTTGACTCTAATGCTCATCTCAGCATGTTGCTTGGTCAACCACTTTGACGGTCCTCTTTAGAGTGCTAAGTTAAGTCTTACCTCGAGATACAGTTGCATGATTTCCTGAGTGTCTATCTCATCTACCTCTAGCGCTTCCCAATTTCTTCCGCGGCTGAAATCTTGTTTATTTCCTGTCCCGGTAGGTTGTTACTGATGGTGTATAACCAATGGATTTACGAATATCTGTATCATTTGAATGATAAGTTTTGTAGTTCTCCAAGTTCCAGCTGAATACAATGGAACTGTTTTGACGTTTGTATTGGAAATTCTGACTATTGTGTTGGTCAAAATGTGGCTGTCTTGAATGCCAGATGTTCTTTAATTGTAGAAATACTGCACTTTGCCGATCCGTACTTGCATACTTGCGTTCGATCGACTTTGTCTATCAACGATGCTGCCAAAGGTTTCCACATCCTGTGATGTGTGATTTGGCTGATGCATATTGCGTTGTATTATGCTTTTCCATCGTGTATGTTGATAACTACTGCTGTAGAAGTTGTCGCCATACTGATTGTCTTCTCTTTCATTTGCTGCTGTGTGTGAGATAGAAGAACTAGGTCATCTGAGAAATTCAGATCGTCCAGCTGCATCCTAGCTGTCCATTGTATCTTGTGACTCCCAGAGAGATGTCGACGTCTACATAATCCAGTCAACCACCAGTTGAAAGAGAAAGGTTGAAAGTAAGCAACCTTGTCTAGCACCGATTTTTACTTGGAAAAATTCTGCGGGCTGCCCTACATTCAGGATTTTGCAGCGTGTTCCATCGTAAAAATTAAGTATGATATTGACCATCATCTCAGGTACACCTTATTGTCCAAGGTATCTAAATGGTGTTATTCAAGGAAGTTAATGTACTCTGATGAGTCTCATGTAAGGGATTGCTCTACGATGATCTGTAGTCTCGCGATTCAGTCACTACGTGGTCAATCCTGGTATTGAGAGCGGCGTGAGGCCTCTGTAGTCCTCATACTTGCTGAGACATACCTTCTTTAGTATCATAATGAAGTGACTTTCTTTCCAGTCTGTTGGTACTTGTACTTTCTCACAAATCTTACTGAAGAGAGCGTGGAAAACCTTTGAAGTTACTGTCAAGTCGGTTTTCAATGCCTTAGCTGTTATGTTTCTGGTACTTATGCCTTAACACACTTGATTTGTTTGATGGCTCCGCTGATCTCTTCAATTGTTGGTGGGTTTGCAGAAGGTCTGTTGGAGATCTGTAAGCACTGTTTCGACGTTTGCTGTATTCAGTGAGCCTAGTCTATTCAAGAGTTCTTCAAAATGCTCTACCCATCATTTTCGCCGTTCTCGTTTGTCGGTAATTGGTTTGCCGTCCTCGCTTTTCACTGGTCGTTCTAGTTTACGGTATTTTCCGGCAAACTTCTTTGCCGTATCATATAGAGTTGTCTTATATTTCCCTCACTTGAAGATTTTTCTGCTGGATTTGCTTAGCTTTTAACACGTTGATCAGCTCCGATGCTTCTCTTTACTTTCCTGTTTGCCTCTGTGCATTCAGCTTCAGCATTTGATTTCTCTGCTATTGTTCGGTTGAATTTTATCCAGGAGATCCATTCCTTGTGGTGGCGGTTCTTGTGGTCCAGAACCTCATGACATGCTGAAGTTATTGTTTGTTTGATCCACTTCCAAGTGTTCTGCATGGTAGTTTCCTTTCCATCGAGTAGATCGGGAAAGGCTTGGAACCTAATGCTGATGGCTATCTTGAATTCCTTGAGCTTTCCAGCATCCCAAATAGAGACCATATTAACCTTTTGTGATGCTGTCTGATCAGTTTCATCCTGGCTACCACCAGGTAGTGAACTGAAGCCTTTTAAACTCCTCGCTTTATTCTTACTTCCTTCACGGTTCTTCTTAAATTTTTGTTCATGCCGATGTGGTCGATTCGGTTCTGCGTAGTGTGATTCAGTATAACTCATGCCGCTTTGTGTATACATTTGTGTGGGAGTATGGTGAAGCCTAAGAACCATTTTGTTAGAAACACATAGATTTGCGAATCTGTCACTATCTTCGTTCCTTCTTCCCAGTCCATGTCTTCCCATGATGTCTCCATATTCGATGTTGTCCATTCCAACTTCGAGATTTGGGTCTCCTATCAGAAAGGTCAAGTCCTATGTTGGACATTGCTTGACGATTGACGAAGCTAGGAGAGACCAAACCAAACCATGGCACAAATTCATGAAGTCACTGACAACTGAACTGAGTCATGTTGGTAGGTGTCGACTACCTGGTTGAGGTCCGCAAGATGATAGTAGTCGATGGTTAGAGAAACCTTAAATGACATGGCTCACAATCGTTTGCAACGGCACATGTGCATTCACTGTTTGTGTTCTCTCAAATCCTAAGCTTCTGAATTCCTCATCACTTTTATCTTTTTCTTTTTAAATTTATCTCACTGAACTATACCTCTTGAATAATATCTTCTAACCCTAATCTCTCCGACTACTGCTATTACTTTGACTACCCCTACTATTATGAGATTTGAATTGACAATTGCGTCTCTGTGCTAATGTGATATGGCAACTTGAGCCGATGTACTTACGTACGAATTTCCACCTTGTAACTGACTGACTGACAACGACCAACTGAAGCCTCTCATAGAATTGATCTTGATCGTCCTCATTATGATCGTTTGTAGACGCATAGCACTGAATGATATTGATCGCAATTCCCTCTTTCTCTGTCTTGAAAAATGCTCTAATACTACACAAATCAGAAAAATAACTCATTCATAACGTACTTCATTAAATCATCAACTAAGGCGTTGACATAACTACACACATCATTTCTTAAGTCCTTTAGATTTTACCAAAAGCTTCGCAGAGAAAGTATTTTAATTTTCCATTGACTGACGACGAACTGTTTATGTTATGCTCGTCAATTGATATGCTTGAATGCTATTACGAGTTCACTTTAGTCGGTAAACGAGAGCGAAGACAAGTGATCCAGTGACGCAATAAATCTCAATGTCAACTGATCAACCCATGTGCGAAAGCATATAGGGCCTAATTAAGAACCATTTATCAAGTGAGTTCTGGGGATCTAATGTCCCCAACAGTTTATTGATACATTTATGCCGAGAAAAAATGCTCAAAATCAAACCCAATGCGAAAGAGTTATTTTGGAAATGATGGTCTTCAGGAAAACAGCCTCAATTTAAAAAGACTCCTATTATTATTCACATATTTTTCGCATAATTACCCCATCACTAAAT